ATATATATATATATAAATGGCTTAATAAATATATTAGGACACAAATATGCTGTCTAATGGTGTGAAAAGTGCTTGTTGAATGGAAAGTGTCAGTCAGCTCTGATGTGTGTGTGTGCTGTGTCCCCGCAGACATGCCCTGTGTGCAGGCTCAGTATGGGCCCGCCCCTCTAGGCTCAGCTTACTCTGGCCAGTCCTTCAGTTACCAGAGCGACAGCTACAGCTCTGACCTCATGACCCCGGACTACACCAAGCTGGACCTGGGCGGGGGCGAGATCTCAGATGCCGCCGCCACCACCTCCCTCCCCAGCTTCAACGTCTTCGTGGAAGGGAGCTACGAGCCCAAGTCCTCCTGCCTCTTCCAGATGCCCCCGCACCGGCCCGCCATCAAAAAAGAGGAGGAAAGTTACCCAACCACCCCGCCGCTGGACACCATTTCCTCCTCCTCCATGTACTTTAAGCAGTCGCCCTCCTCCCCTCCCAACACCCCGTCCCTGCCCCCCCAGCATGGCACCTCTTTCCTCTGGGACGAGCACTCGTTGGCCCCCCCGTCGCACCCCCATTCCCTGGGCTCGGGCCTGGAAACGGGCGCCCTCAAATCCCCGCGCTTTCAGCACTTTTACCAGCACTCCCCGCCCCACAGCGGCGGGAGTGTCGGCGGCTACGAGAGCCTGGGGGGAGGGATGGTCCGCACCCCTTCGTCCTCCTCGTCCTCGCCGTCCGTGTCCCACCCTCATGGCCCGCCTCTGGAGCAGCCCATGTACCAGCTGCATCGCGGGGCCGCGGGCGGCAGCCTCGCCTTCCGCTCCCTGGCTCTGGGGCCCTGCGGTCCGCTCCTGGGAGACAGCTTGCCTTCGCCGCCCCCTCGCGGACCCCAAGGAGAAGGAACCTGTGCGGTGTGTGGGGACAACGCAGCCTGCCAGCACTACGGCGTACGCACCTGTGAGGGCTGCAAGGGCTTCTTCAAGGTAAACAAATCTAACTTCAACTTTCGATATTTTGAAAATAATCGTCGCTTTTAAAGCGACAGTCCACCTTTAGACCTTTTACTGTATCAGCTCTCATTTCCCGCTTTGCAGACGCCACTCTCATATTCTTAACAAACGTATAAGGGAAATATGAAAATTTCAGCCGGTATCGACATCCAATATAATTATTGCTGTTATGGCTGATAACTGATATTTACTGATATTACACAAACACATAAATAACACTAGAAGCACTCGGAGAGTGCAAACCTCCGCCAAGACCAATTTCCTCCATCCTGTAAGAGTTAATGCACCAAAGCAGAGATGGAAACAAATTTGCCGAATAAGTTGTGACGTAGTGAACATTTAAGCAGCAGTATGCACGGGATTTCTTCTCGGTGGAGTCCAATGTGAAAAAAAAAGTCGGACTCGTCACCCGACGTTATTCATGGTCAAACTGGTGTGGGATTAAGCTCCTAAGTTTTCATCTGTCACATTTCACCATGTAAAACATCTGTTTTATCTCCTTGTATGAGTTTGTAATGGTTTGACTCTCTTTATAAAGTGCTTCCTGGCTCCCCCCGTCTCCAAACTTTGAGGCCCAGCAGCTCTCTGTTTACAAGCCTAGTAACCAGAAACTGTTTTAATTGGTTGTTTCGGAAAAGTGGTGTGTTTGAGGAAATGGGAAAAATAGGTTTCATGGTGCAGTCACGCACTTCCTGGTCACAAAACGTTCTGCAAATGTGCATATTATGGCAAAGATTGTTCATCATTAAATGTGGTTTTAACATTACTTTTATAAAGTTTGAAGTCCATGCTGTCCAATCCAGCTCACTGTTTTTTACAGAAGCCCTGTGAAAGCATCACAGCTTTGCCGATCTCAGGGTGTTAAAATAAAAAAAATTCCTGTATCCGCATCGTGATCCGGAACATCACCAAAATTTAATAGTGTGTTCCTTGGCCCAACCTACATGTGGTAAAAATGTCATGACAATCCGTCCACAAGTTTTTGAGTAATGTTGTCCACAGACAGAACAACAGAACGACAGACAGACATACGCGATTGAAAACATTACCTTGCCCTTGGCGGAGGTAATTATACATATTCGCACCAACATGCTTGGGTCTTTTTTTGATACCGTAAATAAACAACCAGACCTCTGACATGGCTCCCTACTTCAGTTATTCCTGGCTGTGCAGCATCTCTATCATGATCAAACAGATGCCGTTCAACCAACCATCTCCCCTCACAAAACAGAAACACAAAGATAAAAACTGTGGGAAATCAATATCAGATGTTAATATCTGCCCAGTTTTATATATCGGACCGATACCGATATTCAAAAAAATGACCAATATCGCCCGATACCGATATTAATGCTGATATATCGTGCATCCCTAAAACTTAAAGTGAGACATAGGATTTCTAAGGACCAACACTACTGCACAAATGTGTCAAGGACAGAAAGGCAGACGTGGCAGTGGAAGGTGCCGCAGCAGTTTGGAGAGAAAAACAAAGTTAGAAAAAAAAACGATGCATCAAATATTTAATTAGTCAACGATTTTAATAGTCGACAATAATCGTGACTAGTTGACTAATCGTGGCAGCCCTAATATGAAAAATTAAATTTGATAAAATAGCGTTTGCGTAATGCGCTGTAAAAAACCTTTGAGAACTGAGTTGTTCCAAGATGTAATCATGTCAGTTGATTCACTTTTTTGCTATACTATTTTATCTACAACAGGTAAGATGTTTATTGTTCAAAACATCCCCACAGAATTTCACTTACGGAGCACATTAGTGAATTTGCTTCAAACGACATCATTTGAAACTGTGTTTTTGCATTTGCCTCGTTCCCACTCTATACATTTACATCATCTCTAATGTCATATCGAAAGCAAAACACACCCACGGGGGTTGTCTCCCCCACTAACCAAGTGGGCAAAGTGTTAGTGGGTGAAGTGAGAGCCTATAGGATGGTTATAAAAACCTCATATTTAATGCTGAGCCGCTCTGTAATAAAGTTCAATGCAATGGAAAAGGAAGCCTGAAATCAAAGTTTCCTCTCAGTTTGGTTGTAACGCATCAGCTGCCACAGAATTGACCACAAATTTTACTGACACAATACCATGACCATTATGAGTCAGTTTCGAGTTTGGCACCTCAAATGCTCTTATGATTCAATATTAGAGTTTTTCTTGTGTGTTTTTTTTTTAGCCGCGATGCAAAAGGAAGTTTTAGTCACACTTTTATTTCTCTGTTTTCCTCGTGCAGATTTTTTTTTCAAAAACGTGCGTCTCTGACACGAAGTGTTGCTGCTGAGCTTTGCGGTGCAACTCGTGAAATTCCAGCGAAAGCAGATGGAGTCGTCTCAGCGCGCCGTTGTTGATTTATACATTTTTACAGTCACGCTTGTTAAGCTTTCTATTGGTTGCCCGAGACAAGAGAGAGGGAGGAAATTAAGAGACAGCAACACAAGAGGGGTGGTGGTGGTGGTGGGGGGGAAAACATAGAGGTAATTGAACAATGCCTCTGGTAGGTGGAAACAAATTATCCTTCTTTCCAATTAGTTTCACAATTTGTTTTTATTTAGTAATTAATGAAAACGTTGTCTGGTGGCAGCAGGCTGCAGGGCCCTGTGTGCTGCTCGCTGCAGCACTCTGCAGCCACAAAGCCTGTCAGACCTCGCCAGGTTTCCTTTACATGCAGATGCAACCACGCACGCACATGCACGCAACCACACTTATAGACAAAAAAAACATACATGTGCAGAATTTTCTCTGTTCCAGCGTGAATCCAGGATGCAACGTCAGACAGAAAAACCCTTTCCCCCCACCTGCTCTGCTTCATGCATTCTCAGGCGCATTACCTCCATTATCTGGCTGGTTTTATTGAAAATACTTCCCTGATTATATTTAATCACAGCTGAATAAGTAGTACGCATTAAACCGTACTGGCTTGCTGTGAATTATTTTTATTTCATTAATACAATTTGAAGCGCATTTCCCTCTGAATTAGCTTCCAAACAAGTATTTTTTTTGTCCTTTTCTGTTTGAATAATGTGTAGCATTCACCGATTTTCATTAATGGACTTAAGTCAGGATTTGAATTTTCAATAATAAAAATTGTGCATTATTAGAAACAAAAAGAGCATTAATGGAAACGTTGAGCTATTGCTGAGATTTCCTTCTTTTTTTTTTACCAGAGAAACACAGGTCAGCTTAGAGCACTGTTCTTTTTTTCCCACTGCTTGTAAAGCGTGTTAGTCATGGTGAAGTGTCAGTTAAGTGGCGAAGAAGACTAAAATTCAAGCTTTTATAGGCATGTTTTAAAATTCAGCAGTAATATGCATTCATAGAAAGAGTTGGCTTTTGTGAAAGCGGATGGTTCAGCACTTTGAATCGAGCTGTGAAACGCAAAATGACAACATCAGTTCNCCCCCACACACACACACACACACACACACTTCACTTGTTTTGTAGGTGCTCAGAGAAGTGAAACAGCAAAGTGCATGAGATTTGAGTGGAAGGGGGATAAAAAAACTAACAGGCTTTAACTTAAACCAAACTTGTTACAAGTCAAGAATCTGCCTCTGCACGCCTCCGTCGAGTCCCCCATGGCACTCCCAGCATGTGGGCCTCAGACTTTGTGAATTTACTGCACAGACCTCACACCCCAACTCTGAATCTAAACATAAAACATTTTAATGGATTATTTTCTGCTGAGTTAAAGGTTGGTTGTTGTTTTTTTCCCCCTAGAGTTGTTAGGGTCACAAATTTTTTGGCGCCATTTTGAAATAAATGTAGACTTTTAGAGGAATTTGGGATAAACTTGACATTAAGGCACAAAACTTATACTAACATATACAATGCAGCAGAGTTGTACAGTAACTAAGTACAAATACTTTACTGTACTTAAGTAGAAATTTTGGTTATCTGTACTGTGCTTGAGTAATTATTTTTCAGCGTACTTTTTACTTTTACTCATTACATTTTTACACAATTATCTGTACTTTCTACTCACTACATTTTTTAAAAAGGTAAGAAGTAGAAAGTCGTTACTCCTATTTTATTCTGAGTTATTACTTAAAAAATACTATCGTGATAAATTGTGTCTCCTATAGAGTGAATTTAATTATGTTTGGATGAGAAGTATAAATATATACCATTCTGACACACTATTAGCTTGTACACAACCCATCACAGCTGCACGCTGTTAGAAAAAATATTTTTTGGAGAAGTCACCTCCCAATAAATGTCATTTTGTAAAATCTAACTGCTCACTTTTACTCAGTACTTTTACTTTTAATACTTAAGTAGATTTTGTGTCAGAAATTTACTTTAGATACTTAAGTACAAAAAATATCAGATACTTTAAGACTCAAGTAATATTTTTAGAGAAGACTTTAACTTTCACCAAAGTATTTTTATGATAAGATACTTGTATTTTTACTCAAGTATCACTTTGAGGTACTTTATACAACACTGCAATGCACATTTCGGCAACACATACAAAGGAAAGGGGCCACAATTTTTTGTTGACACTACCAGAGGGCCACATAACGCTGTGCCTGCACATTAGGGTTGGGCAATACTGGCAAAAAAATTAATTATATAAATTGGTATTTAGCCAATAATTATTAATTTGATAATTAATCTCCTGGAGTCCCTGGACACCCTTATGTCCCTTATTTCCAAGGGAAAGCACTAAGTTGTGACCAATTTAGTGCTTTCCCACTAAATTGGTCACATGACCAATTAGATTTGTTTTTCATAAAAATCTGTCCAAATTGTGTCAAAATTACTGACTTCAGGCCATTCATCAAGTTTTAAATTGTGTTGATAGAAAATAAATTACAGAACTTTAAAAAAATGTTCTTCATATTTGAAGCAGAGATGAGCACCAAGCGCACTGACTGGTGGCATTAATCATATTAATCGTCAAGTGCCAAAAAATTACATGTTTATTAAACCAACATACAGTGCAGTAACTTAAAGTGTCTGTGACATCAATTTTTTGTAATAAATGTGAACACGTTTTTGGAAAGAAAACATTAATAACATATTGCAAAACTATCTTCACACTGCTGAGATGAACAGTTGTTGAGATAATTGCATGTAAAGAAACAGGAAGTGATGTCAAAGGAGAAAGTCTGCATGTAAACAGAGCGTTGCTACAACAGCTAACACAGACTGTAGAGAAGAATCTGATGTTTCTTTAGATTATTTTGAGTCACCATCAGAGAAATGAAGCGTTAAAGTTTAAATGTTGTTTCAATAAAGACCAGAGTTGTCTTTCTTAAAGCGATGATGTCACTTCCTGTTTCACTTTAGCTGAGCCAAGTTCAAAAGAAAATATGCGATTTATGTGACAAAATGAGTAAAATCATGTGTATTATGCAAAGTTTCTTAAATATAAAGTTGTTTTTTTACTTTCTGTATTTGAAGGATTTACACGTCACAGACACTTTAACACATTTCAGGCTCAAATGCATGTGTAACAGTTGCACTCTTATATATGAATACAAAACGTTTGAAGCAAACAACAAATAAACTCACTTTAGTGAGCTGAAGTGCAACGACAAAAGGCGCCTTTAGTTCAGACACCTGCGTGGTTGTGGTTCTGGTAAAAAGTCACCGTTGTTTGTGTACTTGCGACTCGTTGGTGGGGTCTCGATGGCGGGCCGGATGAAAGTCGCCCACGGGCTACATGTGGCCCGCAGGCCACCAGTTGATCGTCCCTGATATATTTTTATTACAAAGTCATGCAGTGCTTGTTTTGTTATGTGGCATATTTTGCTAAGATGCTCACGCTCTGTACAGGAAGTAAAGTCACAAGAACAACAACCATACACACACACACACACACACACGGACACACACATACATTCACAGCAATGGATAAAGAAAGTAAAGGAGAAATGGCCAGTGCTCATACTTAAGGGTTAATTTATCAAAATCTTAACTGATCATTAAAAACTTGGGCTCTTCCCTGAAAGCAGCTGTTCAATAAAACAATTCTGTGGTTTTACTAAAGGGAAGAGCTTCACTCTCAAATATTCACTCAGGCTTTACAAAAACACACTCTTAAAGACCAATTTCAAAAAGCAAATATGGATTAAGAGCTGTTTTTTAAAAGCAAAACTTTTGTAACAGACAGTGTTGTATAAAGTACCACAGAGTCATACTTGAGTAAAAGTACAAGTATCTTAAACATGACTTTGTTAAACGTTAAAGTCTCCTTTAGGAATATTACTTGAGTAAAAATCTTAAAGTATCTGATATTTGTTGTACTTAAGTATTAAAAGTAAAAGTATTGATTTAAAATGAGCAGTTAGATTTTCTGTAAGGACATTTATTAGGAGGTGACCTCCCCAAAAACTGCAGAAATGACTGTTGTATTAAAAGAATGAATGGATGTTAAATTTAGGATGCACTAGTCCAGCTGTTTCAGTTTATATACATATATCAAGGCTGCACAAAGCTTTTCCCCAAAATGAAAATCTATCTGAGGGCTGCGGCCAAATGTAAGAATATAATTCATGAAATACAAATACTTCTTAAGTACAGTCCTTTTATTTTAATGATTATGTCCTGCTGGAGTGTGACATGATTTGTTTGTGTACAAACTAATACACTATCAGAGTTTTATATATTTATACTTCTCATTCAACCACAGTTAAATTCAGTCTATCTAGGAGGCTCAGTTTATATGGATAGTTTTTATTTTTTACAACAACAAGCTGCAATGAAAACAAGCAGAAATGAAATAAAAGTAACAACTTTATACTTTTTTTGCCTTTTTTAAAAATGTAAGGAGTAGAAGCAAAAAGTAGGCTGAAAAATAATTACTCAAAGTACAGATACACAAAAATTCTACTTAAGTACAGTAACAAAGTATTTGTTACTTTACAGTTTACTTTGTGCTGAGCTCGCTGCAGAGCTCTTGTAAAGATAATTAATTGTTGACACGTTCAAACTTGGCCTCAGTCGGCTGTGATCCACATTAATGTCCAGAACTTCTCCTGGCTCGTTTGGGTCAGCGGACACTGAAGACACGAGAGGAAGCAGACGTTCGCAGTGATCCGCGGTGCCATGACAACGTCTCTCATCCAGCACATTACGCTTCAGTTCCACACTCATGCCGGAGCATATGGAATAATTGGTGTCTTATTAGTCTCCCGGGGGGCAGGGGCATGTGTGGCGCGGGGGGCTCCTAATTGGATTTATGTGTTTTAGAGGTGTTAAAGAAAATAATAATAATAAAAACAGTAATAAAAAGAGGGGAAGTTCCAGTTCTGTTAGTTTAATTTACAGTTTGTTCGTAATCCTGAGTAGATTATAGACTCACAGTTGTTACTTTATCGTAGCGAGGCGCAGTGTTTGTGTACATAAATGTGATCTGTGTACAGATGTGGTCACAGATAATTTAAGGTGAGGTGTAAAGGTTTCCCAGTTGGATTTATTTGTTTTCACACGAGCTGCGACACCCAGGATGTTGAGTTTTTGTTGTCGGTGTGCCTGTGTTGTCGTAACATTGCTGCACCTCAGGCGAAAATTCTTCAAAAGAGACTTAATGAGATTTAATGATCCTGTCAAAGTCTGGCCCAGGAGGCTTCACTGACAGGTGTGTGGTTTGTTTGGAGCTAAACCAGGGGTCTGCAACCTGCGGCTCGGGGGCCTCATGTGGCCCTTTGGTCCCTCCGCTGTGGCTCCAAGAAAATGTGACCAAACATAACAGAAGAAATTGTTTGTTTGGTTTTTATACGCACAACAGAAATAAATTTGTATGCAAATATGTGATCTATACTACTAATACAAAAAGTAAAACTTGTTAGCTCATGCTAGCCTGATGTTTACTTAAATAATCCAACTTCTTTCTATGATCTTTCTCTCAAATCCATCAAAATGTACTTTTAAATAAATTGAAAATTAAATAAATTAGTAAGTTAGTTGGTTAGTTAGTTTATTCATTTATTTTAAAAACAACAACATAAATTCAATATACAACAAAAATACAAATCATAAATTAAATGAAAGGTAGCAGAAGAAGATAAAACCTTATTATATCTGCCCCTTTTTCTCAAATAAATAAATTAATTAAAAAATAATCTTTAGTTTAAAAAAAGAAAGAATAATAAGAATTAGAAAAAATAATATACCAGAATAATTCAGTTGTACTAGTTTTTATAAAATTTGTTATAAACTATAGACCAGGGCAATTCAAAGTAAATCACTCCAGGGGCCACAGTTACTGCAGGTCAACAGGTGAGGGGCCGATCATCCAGCAATTAAAGTCATCATGTAAATAAACCAAGTATTACAAAAATCTGTTACCTTCGAAATAGTTTATTTTGCTGCATTTAATCATGAATACAACATACAGAACCCTATAAAAGTAGTGATAATTAAACAATGTCAAAAACAAAAAGAACACACTTTGCCTCTTATTTAACACAAATATTATTTTAACATCTCTGACTTGGCAAATTTTTAAACCAATTCTATTTTCACTTTTTTAGTTTCTTCAATTGCTTGTAGTTTTAACAGTTTTGAGTGTTCATAGAAATGTTTAGTTGTAGCCAAGATTTACGTTTCTGTAGATATCAAACATGTCTATGTTTAACTAAAAGAACTTAGAGTGATTAAATTAGAAAACTGAGGGTTTGGGCTTAAGAGATGAATGTACCAATTGGGCCAAAATTTGGTCACTCGTGGGCCACATCCGGCCCACGGGCCGCCAGTTGAATAACCCTGCTATATACAGTAATTTTTTTTGTTTACATGAATATGATCTTTTTATTTGTCCTGATGGGTATGATATTAAATAATATAATATTTTTTTAGTTTTATAATGTCACCTCCATTGACCGTAAAGGTTCCTGAATAGGCCTCGAAAAGGCCCTTGGACCACCAATTGGTAATCACAGTTGTAGCTTGTTTTGACACATTTTATTAGTGAAACAAGGAGCAGAAATGGCTCTTTTGATGGTAAAAGGCTGCCGACCCCTGAGCTAACCGGGGGCTTTAAATAACAGCTGGAGATGTGGTCGCACACCGTTTGTGATGCTAAATCCATAAAACAGTCGATAATAAGTTCCTCTACAACCGGGTGCCGCTCCTTCATTGTGAGACTTCCTGATGCACGCACGCAGATTGTCTTTTTTTCCTCCCCTGATTTTATGTGAATAAGGTCAGTAATAATTGAGTAGAAACCCCGGCCCCCCCGCGGGGCCCAGCTGGGGAGGCCCCTGAAGGTGCCACGAGCCGACTTGACCCCGCCGGCTTCGCAGACCGAGGCAGCCTTCTCTGCTCTCCCACTCTTGTCCAACCTCCTTCGTCTCGCGGGACCCCCACCCCAGCCCTCATTGTCAGCGCATGGCTCTAATAAAATCGTCCATCCTGCAGGCGAGGCTTGTTGTCGGAGGGGGCGGGGGGATTAATTTTATCTAATTACACTGATGTCACTGCCGCCTTTCAGCGCGTAATTAAAATCTGACCTGCGAGCTTCGTTCCTCTCTTTGATGGGGGGGTGGGGGGTGGATTGAATTAAACAAATGAAATGTTAGGTGCTGATTGTGTTTGGAGGCTGATGATCGTCAGTGTGGGTTTTGTTTCTGCAGCGCACCGTGCAGAAAAATGCCAAGTACGTGTGCCTGGCCAGCAAGAACTGTCCCGTGGACAAGAGGAGACGCAACCGCTGCCAGTACTGCCGCTTCCAGAAGTGCCTGAGTGTGGGCATGGTGAAGGAAGGTAAGAAACATCACACCTGGCACCAGCTGGGAACACGTCACCATCCAGGTGTTGTTTCTCCTGTCGGTGCCTAGAAGGCAACACGACACCGCACAGGTCCACGCAGGGACACGTCCTCTCTGTCCTCCGGTCCTGAGCGTGGACTTTAAAGAGGGTGGACGCCAGAATCACAGAATCCACTTCCTGCCTCTCCTCACGGCAGCAGAGTGACATTCATTCTGCCCTCATTTTCTCTGAGTTTTCTCACCTGTCTCACATGTCCTAATACCCCCCACCCACATCCACATGGCACATATATACAAATAACAAACACACACACACACACACACACACACACACACACAC